AAACAAGGCCAGTTTTCCAACCACGCCACCTTTCCACCACCACCTCCAACAGGCCTACCTTCGCCGTTCCTTATCACCAAGACCACCTCTCCATCCTTACTCACACCCTTTGAAATTTCCCCTTCCTTAGCCCACAGTCCGGAATCACCCTAATTCACACCCCTTCCCCAAAAACTGTCCCCGCCCCTTCCCCTAAGCTACCTCAAAACCACCCTTCTCTCGTTCCTTAGCTCTAAGACGCCTCTTCTAATGTTTTTCAATTCGGGATTGGGGAAAGGGAGGGGTGGGGTTTCTGGTGGTGTGCTAGGGGACGAGGGTCGTTTTTGGGGTGGTGGGCTAAGGGGCAACAAAGTCAAGGGATAGCGTGGGGAGGGGTGGTCGTTTGCAGGGTTAGGGGTGTCGGAGGTGGCAAAGGGTGTCGGAGATGGAAAGGGCGTCACTTGGCAGAGATGGCAGAGCTCGGTGTTTTAATTTATTTAAATTATTTCATTTTTAAAAAAAAAATTATTTTGACCAGTAAAATGCTGACACGTGCCTAGTAACCTATTATATTAGGTTGGGTGACTGGTTAGGACCAATGAAAGTGAATACCCCTAAATGTTCGGATTATATAAAAAATCCAAAGTAGGGATTTAGTTGAAGCGAATATGTGAAAGCTGAAATTATATTTACCAATCAATCAATAACTATATACTAAAAGACACACCAACAATGACACGTGTCATTTTCTGATGTGTCCTTAGTTTTTATTTTTGTTTAAAAAAATTTGTTTGATAACAAATCTTATACAATAATAAATAAATAAAAGATAATAAATTTATACATATATATAGAAGATTATAAAATATTTGATGTATATTTCCATAATATATTGACAACTATATATTTAAAGAAAATAATCCGAATGTCAGATATTAAAAAATTACTTAAAATTAAAGATTTGACGTATCCTTCCCAAAAAATTAAACTATTTTAAATTTAAGCAAAAAAAAATAATAAAATAAAAAACTTAACATAATTTGTAATATCCTACATTTCAGGAAATTTATTTGGTTAATAAATGATACCAATGTAATTTATTAGTGTCAGATATATACAAAAATATATGCATATTAACACATGCGTATTTTAAAATCATGTCTTGTTAGTGGTCAATTATCACCAAGTGCACATAGGGTATGTGTAGCCAAAAGTAATTTTAAAGAAATATATTGGCTAACAGGCTCTTTCATAAATTCAGCATAATATTTTAGGAAATTTTTTATTTTATAACTTAGGGTTTGTTCTAATAGACAGAAATCAACTGAACTGAACTGAACTCAACTAAACCGAACTTGAACTGAGCTGAACTGAAAATAAACGTGTGAGAACAGACCCTAAATGTAGTGTTAATATGAAACAATTATTAAAAATCATCGTGCATGGCAGGGGACATAACCTAGTTTCTCTTAAAAAATCTAGTTAAACGTAAAAAAAATTTCTCTTTGAATTTTATTTTCGAAAAAATTTATAGAATAATCAAAACTTTGCCTCATTCGTCCAAAATAATCTCAACTTTTGTTTATCTTTAATATTCCATCCGAATTTTAATGTAAATATTTTTCAAACGAACATTATTTTTACACTTTTAAATTAAAATGAGAACTGTTAAACTTTTCTTACTAAAAAGAACTTGTACAAGTTTTGCCCATTTAGATCAAATGAGCAAACTAAAAAACTGATTGTACCTAGCAATTCAAGGTGCAACCAATTTTATGGTGCATGAGTTGTCTAAATAGACTATAATACTTATCATACAAACATTTTAAATTCATATATATCATGGTTGTGAATTTTATTAACTAGAAAAATAATTCCTTGGCCATTCCCAAATGAAAAAACGTATTCACTTTGTTCCATGCCGTAACAATATGAGGTGCATCTTGTACTACTCTTTCAGATTCAGCATCAAGCGCACTTGTAGCTTCATCCAATAGAAGTATTTTTGGATTCTTTATTATGGCTCGTGCAATTGCAACTCTTTGTTTTTGGCCTCTTGATAGTTGTACCCCTCTTTCCCCAACAACGGTATCATAGCCCTAAACAATATTTTTATTATTAGACTTTAATTGTTATTTCGTACTTTTCTATCTCTAGTTTGTTGATAGACTTCTTTAATAAAGTTATCTTTGACACGCTAAAAATAGTATAGTGCATCCGGGTGTACCTTGAAAAGAACATTAGACATATTATATGTTAAAGAACATGGGCGAAAAAAAAAGAACATACTGATGTTTGAAAAATAACATACTTGTACTTAACAAAATAATATGTTTTTGTTTGACAAAGAATATGGCATTACAAGGAACATAAAGTCCTTACGAAAAGAACATGTTATTTTTCATGTTAACTCAAGTGATTGAATGTTTTTGAAAAAGAACCCTATGTTCGACAAAATATTATGTTTGTGTTAGACAAAGATATAGGTGATAATTGGGCGGGCTTTCTTAACCAAGTAAAAAAAATCAATTAAAAATACATAAAAACGCATTTCTAAACCCGCCCAAAAATAAATTTTTCGGGCCAGCCCCAACCGATTTCGGGCCGAAAAATTCGCTCAAAATCAGGCTGGGCCAACAAGCCGGGCTAACTTAAGTCACCTCTAGATTAAGAACATAATTTACAAAAGAATATGACATATTAAAGAACATGTTCTTTCCATGGTTACTTAGATTGTTGAATTTAACATTTTTTTTTCATGTACATACTGATACATTAAAGAACATATTATATAATGTAAAGAACATGTAGTTCAAACTCAAAGAACATAACTCAAAGATCATATTATAATCGCGTTCTTTATAAATGTCACTAATGTTCTTTTTTCCTTTTTTTTTCGCCCATACATGTTATTTTAAATATACCTAGTGTTATTTCCGAGTGCACCAATCACACATTATAAGTTGAAGATTAGAGATACAGATATTAAAAAGACAGGATAATTGTAACAAATATCCATTAGTTAAAACTTTTCTAGTGGTCAAAACGTGTTGACTAATCTAGTAAGAATTTTATAAAAAAAATATCACAACATACCTGTTGCAAGCTACTAATGAAATTGTGAGCATTTGCTAGCTTTCCAGCAAATATAATTTCGTCTTCCACGGCGTTGCCTCCAATTCCATATGCAATGTTAGCTGGTATTGTGTCATTAAAAAGATCAGGTTCTTGACTCACAAGACCCATTTGTTGCCTTTGTTGGTAAAATAACTGTTGAAATCTATAACAAACAAAAGATTAGAACTTTCCTGGATTAAAGATCCCAAACTCACATTCGCGCCGTGGAACAATAATCCACTGCCTTAGAAGCGAAATATGCCACCACCGGTACAAGATTCCTAGTGACGCACGCCCCCCAAGTTTAACGCAACTCTCTCTGTAATCCGTGCACCCGAACCCGAAGAGTTGAATTGCTCAAGAACTGTTCAGATCTCAAAGGGTATGTTTTTGTGCTTTTTGGTTTGAAAGTAATTGAATAATGATAAAGAGGCAATGCTCGTATTTATATGAGTCCCGAAAATAGGAGACAAGTACAGCAAACCGACCTAGGAAAAGAGGTGGGGCCGATCGGGCAAACATCCGCCCGATCGGGCGAGAGATAAAGTTTTTCCAGACCTGGTGTCGCGCCCGGTCGGGCGAACACTGCCTGATCGGGCGATCTAGAAAACCCACCTCGGGCGAGCCATCGGGCGAGAGCCGCCCGATTGGGCTCGTCAAAAACTCGAGCCCGTCGCCCGGTCGGGCGAGGGCCGCCCGAACGGGCTCGTCAAAAAATCGAGCCCGTCGCCCGGTCAGGCGAGGGCCGCCGATCGGGAGCGAGAGTTCTCCTATTTTCCTTAGCCAACTCCGCCCGGTCGGGCGAACCACCGCCCGATCGGGCGCGAGAATCCGTTTACATTACCTATTTCCAACAGCCTTAACCATTTTAGCTGGAGCTTTTGAATCTCAATCTCATCTAGAGTTATGTAGCCTGAATTTGGATCATAGAATCTTTGCAACAGGGAAATGATAGTTGATTTTCCACTTCCACTATCTCCCACAAGAGCCACTTTCTAAAAAGTGAAATGCATAAAATTGCGAGATGTTAAAACTTCAATTATATATGATAAAAGGCGTTACTAAACCAGTATAGATGACACGTGACGCTTTCCAATTTTATTTAATTTTCATTTAATTGAAATCATAACTTAAGGTAAAAGCCCCTAAACTATTGTCAAGTTAAATACACCCTTCGTCCCATAATATAGTTCCTGTTTATCTATTGTGGAAATCTAAAATATTGTTCTTGTTTCTATATTTGGATAGTATTTAAAGACTATTATATCCTCACATTTTTTTAACTTTATTTATTGTACTTTCTAAATTACCCTTGAATTTGCACATGCCTTGTACTTTTTTCTACTTTCTCTCTCTAAGTTTTATCTATAATTGTACTTTTCACTTTATTTATGTATTTTATCAACTTTTTTCTACTATTTTCTTAAATAATGTGAAAAAAACCAAACAAGAACTATATTATGGGACAAGGGAGTATCATATTGTTAAATTAAAATTAAAAATAAATATGAATTTCAATTGTAGAATTATTGCAATAACTTGGAACATTATCCGGTCATAAAAGCTAGCTATGAGTAAGGCCCTGTTTGGTTGAGTTGAAAACCTTTTCTAAAATAGTTTTCCTTAAATTACATTGTTTGGTTTGGGCCAAATATGAAAAGAAAATTTTGGGCTGAAAACTATTGTTTTCCCTCGAATTAGAAGGAAAGTCATTTTTCCACTTTCCTTTTATCTTTGAGAAAATCCTCGTTCATAAGGCTTATGAATGAAATTTGTACATAAGAGGGTAATCACGTCATTTCGGCAATAATAGTAAGGGTAAAGTCGTCCAAATGAAATCTGCCTCTTAACTTCAACATAGCGCCGTAAGTTTATTTAATTTTGACATCCCATTATTAATTTCCATCCCGTTGCACCCAGCTTCAATAACAACAAGATTATGCATCTGAATGGAACTGTGAATTCAACAAAGCAATTGGGTTTGTCTGAAAGCTCTTCGCCTGTACCAATTTGCTGTATACGGATGATAAAGTGTGGAGGAGGTGGTGGCGGTGAGTCGAATTGGCGGCGACTATAATCCCATGCACTGAAGTTGGCCGCGAATGAGGAATGCATAGCTAGGGTTTCGACAGTTATGTCTCCTGTGTGTGTATGCAATTTATGGTTTATCGTTCGTGTTTGTGTTTGCAATTCATTGTTTGTCTTGTATAAATTGTTGTCATAGGTTGTATAATTCAATTGATTTGTGTGTAATTTGCTTTTGATTGTTTTTGAAACTGTGGTTTTAATTCAATTTATACCGGCTGTGTAATTGTTGCTGGTGATTCATTATCTTGTTTCAACTGTATGACAATTTCGAGTCTGATTTGACTGGTGTTTTTATCGAATTCATACCGGCTGTTTGATATTGTGTTAAATATTTTTTATTTTGGCTTGTATAATCGTGGACCCATTGTTGTTTAAAATAAAGTTCTGATTGAATTCATAATGGCGGGTTAATTTTTCTGGTAGTGTGTGATTTGTTTGTGCAATTCATAGTTTAGAATGCGCAATTTATAGATATATCATATGATGCAAAGGGATTTCACGGGTGATTATGGGGCAGTAAGCCTTGGGTTAATTGGGATTAAAATTGCCATAGTCCAAATTAATGTTTTTGTACTATAATTGATATTTAGTAGCAGGACTTGGGATTGAAGTACGAATGATCATTGATATGAGATTTTAGGAATTTTTTGAATGAGAATAGATTCATTGGATAGTAAAAAAACGTAACTGGAAAAGGTGCAGAACTGCAAATATTTCTGAGGTATATCCATTGACTATTTTGTTAGAGCATATTTATCTCTTTATACATTGGTCATGTGTGTAATCAACCTATATGTATAAACCTGCCTATTCTCAGGAGGGTATAACAGGTCACATGAAGAAGAATTATCCAGAGATATTCAAGGTATTTAGAATTGTTGTTGTCAATAAACCTTAAGTCGGAATAAGTAAATCGCTAACAAAGTTGCTAGTTATTGTAGGATGACTCTGTAAGTGTTGGTGGGGAGGTGAAGAGGAAAGGTGAAGTGTTGGTGCAACATTTGAAGGCGCGATGTAGGGTAAGTTAGTTTATTTATAGTATGTGTTTATGTGGATTAAAAGTGGTAGATTCTCGTTTGTTTGATTATGTGTGCAAGTTTGATTGATTTGTGACCAAGTTTGTTTGAGTATGTGTTCAAGTTTGTTTGATTTGTTTTCCTTTACTGTCATTGGTAGCCGGCAAATACAAGCTGTCGGATAGAGTCTTTTGGGAGAATATTCAAAAAGTTTGATGAGCAACGTAGGCGCTTGGTAGGTGAAATGGGGTTTGGTGAGCTATTAAAAATTGGTGGTTATATGAATCTTCCTAGACAGTTGGCGTACTGGTTGATGACTCGAATTGATCCTTTTAACTGTACATTAACTAGCCTAGATGGGAAAGTATTTAAGTTGTCTCAAAATTAGGTTCATTGGGAGTTAGGTATCCCTAATGGGAGTTTACCTGTTCCGACATACAAGTCGTTGGATATTGATATGTCTGAAAAATTCAAAATGATTTTGAAGACATATGGTAAATCTTGGAATAACAAGTCAATAAAAACTGGTCGGGAGTACATATATGAGGGTATTCTAGTGAATAGTGACCTGATTGGTAGGCTGGAGGGGAAATGGGAGGAAGATCAAGCGAAAGAGTTCAAGACAATTTTTTTGTTGTTGTCACTTGAGATGTTGCTATGCCCTAATCAGGCGTCGAGGTTGGCCGCAGATTTGGTGCCCGCTTTAACGTGTGCTTCAAGAGCTGCTGATTATGATTGGTGTTCCCTTGTGCTAAAGAAGCTCATGGAAAGTGTAGCGATGTTCGCAGGCGGTTTTACGCATCAGGCGTAGCCAGTGGTTGCGTTGGTTGCCTCATTTTTATTGTGGTATGTGATCGGTTAGTCTAATGTTTTCCATAAACTTATTTTTATCTTACCCAGTGCATTAAGTATAGCATTATGGTTATACATAGGTTATGTATTTAGATCGGCTTAATAGACATCCGGTACGCTGGGGCTACTTCCCAAGGATGGAGGTTTGGAACATGGAAGAGATACGATTGGCTATTAGAGAAGATCGTCTTCCAAATGGTTGTGATTTTGGACAGCTTGGGGTAAGATACTAAAAAAAATTTGTATAGGAAGTGTTAGGTCTATTAATTCTAAGGTGTTGCTTACTACTGTTTGGTTTGATTAATCTTTGGTTTTCTTATTAGACTCTTGATGTGGCTTATGGTGAAATGCATCCTACGGAGGCAAGGGATACTAATGGGCCTGATGGCACATCCAAGGTGTGAGATTGATTAAATCTTTCTGTTTACATTAATTTAAGGTGTTAAATTTTTTTACATTTAATTATGACATTTGTAATAACTTACAGGTTGAGAGATTGGGCAGCGGTAGTGTTTGTTATAGGGCTAAGGTTGCATGAAAACAGATACCCATATGTAAGCGTAAGAGGTAAACACAGAAGTAGAATTTTTAACACATAAATGTGTTGCTAATGTACTAATTTAGTGATGCTTACCAAAGTTATACCGATCTTTATATATCCAGGTTGGAACCTGAATCTGTTATCTACAATGGCGTATCAACCCGCACTGATATCAACAGCAATGTCATCATAACTAAAGATGTGAAGTGCACGATAGATTTGAATACATGAAACTTTACCAAGTTATTTTTCAATTTGTTGTGAGATTGGGCTGAATGTAACATTTCATATTATGTGACTTGTGAGGTGTAAATATTAAGCTTTTTAAAAGACTAATGTAAATGGGCTTTACAAGCCCAAATAAATTGCATATGTTTAATGGGATATTGGATATTGAAAATGAGTCATATTTAATGGGCCTTAAAACACGAAAAACAGTGGATAGTAGACAAAGCTTATTGTTGTACCCATTACACAACTGGATTTAACGGTGGATTTACATTATGGGTCAAATTATCGGTCGGGGCTGCTTATTAGTCTGTACCATATACAGATTGAATTGTTGCCATTAATATTTGGATATGATGAGCAAATATTAATGGCAACAATTCAAGTACCGTCGGCGTAGTTTAGAAGCTAAGAATTATTTACATATCCATTAATATTTGGATACGATGAACAAATGTTTTAGAATTTGTAAGCCATGAGGCATATGCATTTCCTTAAAAAGATCATGAAATTTATTCATTTGTGGTAAGATCATGAAATATTTCATAAGTAATAGTTTTTGGTGAAATTATTGTAAGCCATTTATATTTGACTTTTAATAGCCCATTTTGGATTAGTTGTATTTATACAATTTTAAATATTTCTGTATAACATTTAAAGTTATAATTTCCAACTTAAAAAGGCAAACATAATATACTCCATAACTTATAGTTTTGGTTGTGAAATAATTGTATGCCATTTATAGTAGACCTTTACAAGGCGTTTATAGATGGGCTTTGTTTCTTCAATTTTTCCTTTAATGGATACTAATTATTTGGTTACAATCTAGAATATTTTGGTATTAAAGTATAAGTTATATTGCGCAAAAAAGGAAAGGTGAAGATAAGATAATTCATAATATATTTAAAATAACCGGATAAAGTTTTGTTACAAACAATTATCATCACATAGTCCAACAATTGTAAACTGGACCCTTTTGATTTGGGATCCTTAACCATTAGCATTTGCAAAAAGTACCATACCACATATTTTTAAAACCACTTCACTTAACATAAAAGGGCCCAACAATATTAATTGCTTACAATGATTTCCACAATGGACATATTTTTAAAAGCAATTCACTTAACATCTATGGCCCAACAATAATCATTAGCAAAAGAACTAACCAACTTCATCCTCATATGCTTGGAGAAGGTGATCATGGCAATTCCGCCGGTGTCAGTCTGTGATATTCCATACACAGCGAATGGTGTCAAATACCCACAAATAAGACGTGCCATATGAATAGAAACTCGAGTTTCCGTTAAAATTATCAAATGAGGCATATGCATTTCTATTGTAGACCTCATTTGTGGCAGAAATGATTCCTTTCCCAAATGATGGCAATTCCAAACTAGGCCACGTATGCCATTTTCCCCAACTTCAATCCAAATTCCTAAATGTTCATTTTCGAGAACTTGGATATTGACCTCCACATCTCTACCATCTAGTACGTTTGAGGAGTAGGTTTTACACTCCATGCAAATCTTAGACGTATACATAGGAAATGGAATAGTAAATAGTTTAAAATATTTCCTATAACTTGGTATGCTTAAGTGATGATCACCATATTACAAATTACAAGTTTCAACAACAGGCGGTATATCCGAGGGAGGATCTACCAAGCTCATCACTGATTTTGGTATGATATGTTAGGAACCCAATCCCTCCTTACCACTGTGGGTAGATAGCACCCATCTTACAAATTGCTTAACCCCTATTGGTAGCAAAGCCATATAGGATAAGTCCGGCAAGTGTATTGGCCTTACCCTGTTGTTAGGAGTGAAGCCTGGCACAAATGATGGAAGGATTAGAAGCCTGGCACAAATGATGCCAGCATTTCTAATTCACTAGGGTTTAGGTTTGAGTGAATAAGGCCACTCAACTCTAACGATTGCTTGAGATAATCAACAAATAGATAATTCTGAGTATATCTTCATACACTAAGTACAACAACAAAGTTATGGTGCTAGGTTAGAACATTTGTAAAAAATCACACTATTTAGTTTATGAATAGAACATTTGTAAGAGTTGTGTACTATAGAGTTACCATGTTATCCACAAACAATATGGGTACGGTCTAATTCACCATGTTATCCAAATATGGCTGCCTTTTAAAAACTATAACAATTTGCAAATACAGGAGCATCCAACATATATTCAAAAATTCTGATCATGTCTCAAAATGCAAATACAGGAGCATCCAACCAAGTAGTGCAATACTTTACAATATCAAACTCCCTAATATTAATAATATTTGCAACGGATCATTATCAAACTGTCCTAGACTTGCTACTAGTTAAGTTATATCCAAAATACAGCACCCAATCAACCATTGAGAGTCATAGACTTGCTACTAGGTAAGTAATAGCCAAAATACATACAAAAACCATCTTGTGAACTACGAAGGATCAAGTGAATGTAAGGCTAAATGATGGAGGATCTATACCTTCCAGCTTAAACCAAAGCCTTTTCATCTTGTACGACCCCTTCACCCTTAATAAATTCGGGCAATCCTTTCTTGATGTCGCAAGTAATAATCTTGTTGTTGATATCAAACCTAATACGCATTGTTGCTTTCCAGCACTTGCTCACCTGCAATTCAACTTTTGTCTGGTCTTCAAGTTATTGGAAATGTGCACGGGCAAAGGACACCGGAATGTTCTGATTTACATTAAACATAAAAATTATTTATTACCAACTAGAAGACATTTATTTATTACCAAATAGAAGCATAATATTAATGAACTTTGAATTCGGATAGGCTAGGATAAACTCACTATTTTAGTTTTGTCCATATATCCCTTGGAGAAGGTGAATTCAAAAGAAGGTGGTTAAAAAAAACCTCCATGGGCACATACTCAGTTAAGATGATGTCACTGTCACTTATTGAACCATCATTGTCTATGAGTACAAAAGAGTCCACAATAGTTATTTCTTTATTGTCACGCCATATCCTAACCATATACACCACTTTGTTATGGTCTTCTAAGGTTAATAGGATGCAGTCTTGCATTCTTAAATTGTTTGCGGTAACGAACTCATTCCATCCCTTTCTTAAATATGTTTCGAACTTACCTGGACCCGTAAACACATGTCTGAAGTGGACACGGTACACCTTCCTCTTAGTACCCCGATGAAGACTTAACACACAATCTGTAACATCATTCTTGTTCCATATTTCTTGCACCTTTCTATTCATTCTCTCTGGAACATGTTGTTAACATTTAATATTAGTTCAGCACTACCAATGCATAAGGGTGTAATAGAAAGTAGCAATGAAGAGTTAAGATAATACACTAGGCAAACTCACCACTTTTGAAAACTTCTCAGGAGTATCGAGTTTGACTTCAAATCGCCATAGTGACATTATGTTTATTTAGCACTACAATTATGAATGTACAAATTTCAGCAATTGATAATGTGTATTAAATACAGTATAATTGGTAGGAATAAGGAATATAATTATTACAGAGTACACATTCCCAATTGAATGTCAAAATGGGACAACAATCCCCACCAAAAACCACATCTTGTTTCTAATTTTATCAACAACATCAAGAATCAGTTTATATCTTAATCACATGCAATCAGTTAACCCATTTCTGATACCATATTAATAATAATTTACTGCAAGCTCCAAGCCTAGACTTTCCTAACTAAGCTATAAAACAGAGTGACAATTTTATTGTCGTAATTTAGACAGTAATACACCAAATCATCATAACCAAATGATCATAACAATGCAAGTGCTAATATTGAACTGGTTTGTTAATGGTCCTTCTTAGACAATAATATTCTGGTGCTTCATTAGTCATTTGGAGCAGGATCACAGCCCAAATCGCCATACATCGTAGATAATCACAGCAAATCAGCATATTAACATTGAAAACAGAGGAGAGGGTTTTGGAATAAGGACCCCCAAAACAGCGCAGGACAAAAATTGTACCAAATGTTAAGGCTAACAGTTCAAAGACGAAAGCAGTCCAACAATTTCCTAGAATTCGACTAGAAATTGATATTCATATTTCAAGGTTAAGGTGCAGGCAATATATTAAACAAAAGAATTCTTACTGTTTAACAATCAAATCTGAATGCTTATCAAATATCAATATTATTAAGTTTTAAAATTCAAGAATAAACACGATGATGAAGTAAAATTCGAAAGGAGAATGGGAGACGTACCTGGTCGGAGGTGATTTGGCTCGGATCTGCGATCACGGCCGGCAATGGGGAAATGGAGGAATAAATTCAGAGAGTTCAGAGTGAATGAGGGTGAAGTTAGGGTTTAAATTTAATGAGAATGTATACAAAATTTAAAGTGTGCAAAATTGGCCTTTTCAATCCGCACGTTACACGTTTACAAAAGGGGTGGGTAGGGTCGATTGCTTTAGATCCTCCCTTTGCACGTGTTCCAAATAGAGGTGTCAAACCGGAACTAATCCGAAAAAAATTATTCGTTTCGAACTGTAACCGATCCGATTTGATCCGAGAAATTCATGACACAAACCCGAACTGTAACCGAACTGAACTCAACTCAAATCAGAACTTGACCCGATCTGAACTTAACCCGGCACCGATATAATCCGACTTGAACTCAACCCGAATCCGATTTGACCCGATAAGAACTGAACCCGAACCAAGTTGACCCGAACCTGAGCTCAACCCGATCCGAAATTGACCCAACAATTAACCGATCAGATCCGATTTGTTTTGACCCCAACTGATATTAACCCGGCCCGCTTTTAGCTCAATTTGATTTTTACCCGATCTGAATTTAACCAGACCATAATTGATTATTGACCTTTTTATTCAAGTACTTATACTATATATTTACTAATTATTAATAAGTTAACTACTTTACACCAAAAAAATAGTCTGGAGTCTTAAGTTTACTACAAACCCATCACGTTAGACAATCTGACAAAAAAGTAGGTGGGGTCCATATAAATATCTCTCTCTTCCTATCCCTCTCCTCTTTTCTCTTTCTACCATATATTTTTAGAACATTTTAATCATTATTATGTATTTACAAATACATAACATTCCTTCATTACTACTTCCTCTACAACTGTGCATTATCCTAGAATTATAGGCATTATACATCGTACGGTTATATACACACTACATACATATGCAATAATTTATGCTCAAATAAAAAGAATGTACATAGTAACAATTAACTATCAATATGTATAATGTCAAGTTTTTATTATAAAAATTGAATTAGTAATAAAGTAATTCTAACAACTCTAACAAATATCTTACACAAATTGAATTAGTAATAAACTAAACTAATAGTATAGAACTCATAAGCTTGTAAGATTGTACAATTGATGAAGAGTTGTAACCTTGTAATAATAACCTTAAAAATTTGATATACTTTTTTGTATATATCACCATATGTAACTATTACTCGTCAATATATCACTAGCTTGGTCTCACTTATATAGGTATGATAAGTTATCAATAATTATTCAATCCTCAATTTTCATTTAAGATAAAAATTATAAATAACTTGATAAAATGATAAACTAAAACTTCGTGCTTCGTAATTAATAATCATTTTGAACCAATAATAAGGTAAAAACTCAATAATATCTCTATATTAAAAATAACCTTATTTGGATATGAATTTGGTCAGCTCGACCAAAATCCAGCCAAACACAAAAAGGAATTGAATTGAAACTGACCATTTAATGAAACAACGGATCAACCTTATCTTTATCAAACCGAAGTTGAGTTAACCAAAATCATACGAATCGTAATCAACCCCCAAATTCATCCGACCCGAAGTTATCTGGTTAAACCCGTTTTTAACTTGATCCAAATTTATCTGAAACGGAAGTGAACCGATCTGGAGTTGACCCGACCCTTATCCGGCCAGTACTTGATAGATCTTTACCCGAATTTGACCAGACCCAAATTTGACCCGATCCGAGTTAAAAGGATAATTTTAATCCGAACAGATCCGACCCGAACAGACCCGACCCGAACTCCATCCGGTTATCCGAATTGACACCTCTAGTCTCAAATGGGTGGATAGGGTGAATCGATTATTTTCATTCGTATATGAAAGTTCTGTTTCAATAATTTGTTTAACTCTATAATACAATAACATAATAAATCAATTAATCACCTATACTAATAGTGAACCTAATGTGAAACGTGTCCGTTTGGAAAAATAAATTTGCCCCCAACTTCCTCTACAACTTTGCATTATCCTTAAAATATTGTAAGCATTGGTATGTATTTACAAATACAAAACATTCCGTCATTAATACTTCCTCTACAACTTTGCATTATCCTTAAAATATAGGCGTTATTCAACGATGAATATATACACACTAAATATACATATGCAATAATTTATAGCTCAAAATAAAAGAATGTACATAGTAACAATCAACTTATCAATATCTATAATGTGAAGCTTTTAATATAAAATTTGAATTTGTAATAAGGTAATTCGAACAACTGTAACAAATATCTTATACAAACTGAATTAGTAATAATCTAAACTAATACTACAGAACTCATAACCTTGTAAGATTGTACAATTGATAGAGCTAAAATCTTGTAATAACCTTTAAAAATTGATATTCTTTTTTGTATATATCACCATATGTAACTATTAGTAATTTATTAGTAGCTCGATCTCAATTTTCCTTTAGTTTTATCAAACCGAACGTGACCGAACCGAAATCATCCAACAGAATGCATCCCAATTCAAAATCTTCCGAGCCGAAGTTATTGGGTTTTTGCCGTTTTAAACCCGATCCAAATATAGTCGAACCGAAATGTAACTGAGCTGGGGTTGTCTTCAATAAGGTGTTGCTGGCTTTTGTAGTACTTAAGGCTATTAAAATCAATTTCGGGTCTCATTTGAGGAATAAGATGTGTGAAGTACATTAGGGAATGCCCTGGGTGAAGGTGGACTTTGTCACGAACTCGGCGTCGAGGATCAGTTGCATACACTATCACAACATTGGTGTTTTGGCCGTGAGCCATGGCTGGGGGGAAGACACAGAGGTAGGTGATTGAGTTGTTTGAAAAGTGAAATAGGAGATGTGAATTTCCTTTACATGTAAATACTTTGTAATTGTTCTGACAAGTCAGGACATATTTTACATAAAACTAGTCTTTTGTCCTGTACACTGTACGGGCTTGTTTTTCTTTAGGTGCATGTATGATTTAATTATTATGGAGACGACCGAGACGTGGTTATTTTTTGTTCGTATCTTATGTGCCTCTTTGATTTTTCTAATTTACATTTTGTTCGTATCTTATGTGCCTCTTTGATTTTTTGTTAGTATCATGCCTAGGATCTTGCTATTATTATGCTTTAATATTAACATGATTATTATTATGGTTAATATGATTGTTATTATGATGATTATTTCATTGTTATAATTTTATGATCATGATTATATTTTATACTTTGATTATTATGTTGCTTGATTTATATTGTTATTGCTTGATCACGCCTTTTATGCATGTGTAAAGGGAATTTGTACTTGTAATCACGCTTAATAAGATAATTAATAATCTTGTTTAGGGTTAATGTCATTATGATTTCAAGTGAACGCCAATAATAGGTTTGTTTGTGCATTAATATTCAACTAACATAGATAAACAGGTTTAGGGTAATCCTATTGATTGCATGTTAATTAAAAACCGCACATGAATACGATCAGAATAAAGTAGAGGCCTATTATTAGGGCAGATTCAACCTCTTTTAGGTTGGATTTGTACCTTCATCCCCGAACCCTTATTTGGTTCTAGACCTTATGGAGTTGACGATCTCTTGGATCGTTAAGGGGTGTAACCTTCACCCTGTGAACGGTTTACAAGTTCCTAAAAAACTTGTTGGCGACTCCTTTGCTCTATCTTCTTCCCTTTTGGACGCCACCGTACTTTAGTGTATGATCACAGTGGGGTTCAAGCTAGTGGGATTTTTTAAAGGCTTGAAATTATTCTCTACAGTTTTTGGCGACTCCACTGGGGAGGATTTCTATCTTAATTCCTGAATTTGTTTCGGCAATGATTTAGAATGAGTGGATGAGACTCGAAAAGTTCTAAGTACTTCATGTGCGTAATTTTGATTAACATTATTGTCATATGCATAAAAAAGATCTCATTGGAAAGACCATCCGTAATGAGTTAAAAACATAGGATTTTACACGTAGGAAATTTGAGAAATATTTTTCACAACTAGGACTGAAATAACACCGCGAAACTGGAAAATTTTATCGAGCACAGAAAGCTGCTGAGGCATGTGGGAAGTAGCGTCAGGGGAAAGAGCTTGGCGCCAGCAATTTAATCGTAACACCAGACGCCAGTATTGGTGCCAGGCGCTACATTTAAAAGATGGCGCCAGTCTCTGATTGCTGGCGCCAATTTCCCCCAATACCGAGCCAGAAATATGCGTTCTAATTTCGACCAGTTTTCGTATTGTTTGCTCGATCCTACTTCCTGATTGAATTTTTTCTCACTTTTCTGAAACCCATATGTGTTCTACATATGGACATAACCCTCTGGGAATTCATGCTCCATCTACCTGATTGAACACTCCGTGCAACAAAGGGTACATCCGAGATGTTGAATTCACCAAACCATGGAAGCGAGTTTTTTCTAAAACTCGCGGTGTCCCATCCACTCGCGCCAACCCTTCACGGTAAGGCTTCCGCGCGGTGCATCCGGACAATTAACCATGGACCCTCTATTGACTAAACCATATCCCAAACTTTAGAGAACTAGAGCCATGGTTAGGTTTCAAACTCATTGCATCATATTGTGCCTACTTGACTAATTGTGCATTATTGGTTGTGCATATATATTCTATGTTTCTCTTAACCGTTTGTTGACTTGTGTTGAGACTAAATAAATTAATTACTTAAAGAACTTTGCCTAATTAACTAATTAATTAATTAATTTGAGTCAATGAAGTCTAATATTTTAATCGGAATTGACCTAGTACGACTTTAGGCATACCCCAGTTGACTAATAACACCGAAAACAGTCCCAGACCGAAGCTCCAATATTGGCGCCAAGGTTTGAGCTGTAGCGCCACACTATGGAGTGTAGCGCCTGACGACAGCTATGTTGTCTGGCGCCAAGCTCCACAGTGTGACACCAGTCCTGTCGCTTGGCCGACAGTTCGGATTATTGGTCGAGTCATCACCTAGGGTCTATTTAATCACTTTTCTGTTTAATTCGGTTAATTTTCGCTGTCAATAACACCTTGTCGAGTCATTAATCGAGTCTTAGTCACATAGTCTAGCCACATGGTCATGACACGAGTCTTAACATGTCACCTACACTCACTAG